AAACAGACTTATGTGCCGCTCTGTTTCTTCTGGGCCAGGCACGATCTGTTTCTATGTGCAGGGCTGGACTGAAATTTCAGTCTGCATCTTCACAGCAGACTTCAGAATTATTTGCCATCTCTGCACTCTGCAAATTGGTATCTGGCTAACTAGCCTTGTAGTTTCTGCCACAAGGGCTCTGAACATCTATACATCACAGCGGCATGAAAAGCATTGGCAAGCCTCTGACATAATCGATGTGGATATGGTTGTGCCAGCAACGTCAAAAATTGCCCTCCACAGGAACCTTGAAGTTGTTCATGCCGTCCACCAGTGCGTGAGCAGATTCCTTTTGAAGTAGCGCAATGCCTGAGCGATGCAGCTAAATCCACATTGGCCCACATTAATCTAGTCCTCTTTCGAAAGGGCTTACCATCCATACAAAAATCCGTATATCCCCAAGAGGCAGCTTTATGTTGGAGGAGGTGTTTGATGGGAGATGCCAACCACAAACGGGATGTGTGAGGATTTTCAAGTGCAACAGGAACACCATGCCGTAAACAACACCTAAACATCTTGGCACTGAACTTCATCAGGATATTGCCAATTCGAATTTTTTCAAGATCATGAGGAGGAAGATCCAAAAAGCCCATCAAGAACAAGTTGTCATCCCTAAGTGGTCCTGGTCCTCTACCATCGTTTCGCCGCGCCCTGCTCCAACTGTTGCAGGGAGTTCCCAACCAAACATAAGCAACCTTTCCCGAAGCCACCAAACTCAACAGCTGTTTTTGGTTTTTAGGGGAGGTTAAATCAAATTGTGGTCCATGACAACTGTCAACCTCCGCACAGAACACCTTTTTTAGCCGTCGTCGGACCGCTCTGGAGAAATGTCCGGAGCCACTAAAGATCTCCAGGCCAATTGAACTCATGGAGTGCCGTCCCACTCGCCACGATCTAAAATCTTGTTGATCCAAGTCTCTGCCTGTGTGGCTTCGTGCTTTTGGGTCCCAGACAGGTTGTCGAACACCTGAGAAAGGCGACCTCCGTTGGAGTAGCGCTTGACACTCTTTGCGGCCTCCCATCGACCTCGCTTCTGCACCTCTGTCAATGACCGGAGACCCGTGAGCACGTCGGTCGACGCACTGCCGTGCCTCACTTGATAGACACAGGTGATGCCGTGGTGGTCGTACTGGAGCTGTACGAGCTTCTCGTTGAAGAGCTTGGTCGCATCTGAGTGGTCGAAGGTGAAGAGCAGCTCCTCCGGACGTTTGGACTTGACAGCCTCTGTGATCAACTTTCCCAGCCCTTGCATGTAGGGCTGATCCACCAACACCGCCTCGTCTGAGACGCCAACCTTCGACGTCAGCTTGAAGTTCCTGTCGTCGGCCACCGCATTTTCGAACGGCGTCCGGGTGGGCGGTTCCGCCCCACAGTTCAGGATGACAATCCAGAACTTGCAAAGGTCTGTCGGCGGGATGATGTCCTTCTTCCTCAACTTCAGGGCTTCTCCCGGCCGGCAGCACGTCGCCCAGACCAACAGCAGCCAGATGGCCACTTGAAAGTGCACTGTCCAAAGTCGGCGCACAATCGCCGCCAACATCGGGAAGGGAAGCGGCAGACGACCCTGTGGTGGATCGAGCTTCCGATACCCAGTCAAGGCCACCGTAGATCTCGGCAATGCCGCCGTCTTGGGGATGTCCTGACGATGGAACTTCACCGCCGCCATCATGGTCATCACATCGGCCACGTCGTACCCGTCGAAGAACATGTAGTTCATCTTGTTCACCACCACGTGGTCTAACTCCTCTTTCGAAGCCAGACTCAGCCCTTTTGCCTTGGCAAACTCCTTGACTTCCATCCATGCCTTGGCATATGACTTCTGACGGGCAGGCCCCACTGACTTTGTCTCCAAGAAGGTCCGTTGGTCGTGCAAGGCCAAGCCGGGGTTCGGGCCATGCAGCTTCTCTCGCTCCGCAGCCCTCTGTGCCTTCTTGGCCATGACCTTGCCCTCTTTGAGAGCGTTCACCTGCTCCAACAAGTGGATCTTCCGCTTCCTTTTCACACTGCGATCTCCCTCTTGTCGAAGCTCGCTCACACTCCGGAGCACCACAGTGGAACTCGAGGGCAGATCGTCGCCAACCGGACTGTCCGCCCTTGCCCTTCTCAACATAGTTGTCTTGTAGTTCTCGAAGTCCCTGTGCTACGTTAAACCCATGCAACTTTTGAGCCCTAGACGGCAAGTCAGCAGGATTAAGCTCACTTGGGATCCAACGCAGGTGTGCAGTCATGCCCGTCGCAAGGCAAAGGGCAGCAACTTGTCTACAAATCCTATTCATTGGACCACTGCTTGAACGACCTTTAGCAAGAGCAAGGGTAACAGACATGGAGTCCGTAAGAATCAAATGTTTCCTACCAATGTTTTTCTGGGATCTTGCCAAATGCTGAAGCAACCAAACAACCGACCTACCTTCCAACACGGGAATGGACTCGGTGCGATCCCACTTAGCCCCATCAACCTGACTCCAATTGTTCCCAATGAAATCCACCGGGACTTCCAAGTAGTCGCCTCTTCCCAACTCTTCTAAATGACAAGGTGCCCCAAGCTGCAAAGACTCAGGATCAAGACGCTGCGCCCAGTTCATCATCTCGGCTCGGCAAACTTGATCTTCTTCTCCAGCATTGAAGCGCCATCTATCATTACGCCTGCCAAGCTTCTGGATCTCAGCCAGGGGCTTCTCGGACGCCACCACACCACGTCCCCAAAGAGACGCATCAGTTGCATGCACCCTCGTAGACCACCCACTGGCCAAGTCCCTCTTTACCAGGCACAGCAAAGAGGCAGCCCATCTGAACTCCCGCATCACTTCGGGCCAAAGGTCAACCTCCACCTCGTAGTTCTTGCGGATGAAGCAGTAAACCGCCTGGAAGACGGTCAGCATGCCCCGCTGCATCAGCCCAGCAAAAGTGTAGTGGCCCACAAGCCTTTCCAAGGTCCGACCACTGGCTCTTCCCAACTTCAAAAGTTCCATTGTCGCCAGCCTCATTCTCCACAGCCGCTTGTTGGTGATCGACACCGTCGGATGATCCGCATTGAAGGCCCATCCCAAAGTCTCGACCCCATAGCCAGCCTCAACTTCATGAGTAGGTAACCCATGTCGATTCAGAGCCACACCAACGGCCTCGGCCAAAGCTTTGGCACGTCCTCTGGTCTGAGAGATTGCCACAAAGTTGTCCACATACTGTGTGTGCACGTAGTCCTTCAGCTCCGGCACCGGTCTGCGGTCAACATAGCGCAACTGCGGGTCAATCGCCGGCTGCATGTCAACCACATGCTCATGAGCACTCTGGCAAATCCAAAGCGCCAAAGTCCATCCCATAGGAACCACCTTTAGGCAGGGAAACACCATCTGGTTGGCTTTCACTTCCTGGCCCTGCACCTGTGTGATGCCCACATCTTCAGCTCGCAGGGGGGCCAAACTGAACAGCTCCCTCAAGTCTTCATCCAAAGAAATGTGGTAGAAGGCATCGGCAATGTCTACCCCCCCTACTTCGAGAGGAGGACCACCACCCGGCACCTCCAAAAGCCCAAAGGATGCCCCCGTCGCCAAAGACACCGACGGTGGGGCCTCAAAGTGCATATTGGCCAACCTCGCATCAATGACAAGTCTTTGCTTGCCACTCTTCTTCCAAACTGTGAACACCCCAACTCGTTCTCTGCCATGATGTCTAAACTCCACAAGCCCTCGTTCACGAAGAAGACGGCAAAAGTCTGCATACTTCCTTGGAGAGGACCGCAACAGGGGATCCACGTACGGGGCCTTCAGACCCACATCAGCTTTACGCTGCTTCACCTCCGCATCAGCCAACACCATAGACAAAAGCCGATGACGAAACTTCCCAGCCTCCTCCCCAAAGATCATGTCCAGCGAAGCCGCCGTAGATGAAGGAGGAGGCAAAGATATCAAATCTAGGTCCATCGGAGCCAGGTGAGTAGGATCACTCCCATAACCTGGTTTGGCCCGAAGCTCTGCAAAGGCTTCCTGGCCAGACATGCCATCTGGTGGTTTACCGGCATCCAAAATCGCCTGCCTCAACATCGACAAGCAAATGCGCTGGCTAAGTGTGGGCCGTCCATCACCTACAAAATTGCCCGTGTGCTCGTCCCCCGCAAACATGGCATTCAAAGTTTGTACAAGTTCTTGATGCCAAACATCAACATGGTTTCGAGCCTCCAACCGGCGCTTGACACATCGCGACAAGCCCTGTTCATTCTCCTTGGTGTAGGACGTCTGCGGCACAGGGAAAAGTCCACGATGTCTCACCATAGCCAACAAAAGGAAAACTTCAGCAGCCAAAACACTGCTGTGAATTCAATGGTGGCAATCGTCAATTTGATCGCCAATGCAAAAATGCCGCCCCACCCAGGATGCCCACAAAGAAGTTGCCGAAGACACCCACAGGCAAGAAGCAGCAAAAAAGGAGAGGGTCCAGTGCTCCTCCCCCAATTGAAGGCCAGCTACTTGTTCAGAGAGGCACGCTCTTCTCGCGCCTTCCTCACTTGCTTCAACACCGCCGCCTCGCCTTCGACCTCCTTTGCAACATAGTCCAAGAGTGTTGGAGCCACCATGCAGACGCCAAACTCCTTGTGCCCACCTGAGAAGATGGTGGCCTCATATTGCTGCATGGAGGTCATTGCATCCCCCTTTTTGTCAGTCTTTGAAGACCCCTTTCCACCGCCAGGCCCACGCTCGCTGTAGACAAACTCGATCAATTGGAGGCGGCGAAAAGCCAGCTCTGCGCCCGCCAAGTTGCTCAGATCAAGTCCATCATATCGGCCAAGCTTGTCGATGATCTTCATCAGCGTGTCGTGTTCTGAAACTCCCCAAGCATCATTCTTCAAGGAGTGATTCTGAAGCCACCATCGATGATGATCCATAGGTCCACCATTGCGCCTGTTGAGGAACCTCACACACCACTCGGAAGTGCGAGGGCCTGGAATGGCCCAATCTTCAAAAGGCTCTTGCCGAAGTTCTCGACTTACATCACGCCACTGACGTTCAGCTCGGTTGACACCTTGAAAGGAAACCCCCATGAGCCTTGCATCAGCTGCTGCCTCAGAGCCCTTGTACTTGTCGACATCGCCCCTCTTCATTTTGCGAATGGCATAGTGGACCCCTCCATCTGCCTTCAAACCAACATCACCATGCAAGATCTCCGTGCCATCAAGTCGTACTTCATCTCCTCGAGCATGTTGAGCAGTGGATTCAATTCGAACCCAAATTTCATCTGGGGCCGCTGGAGCAGCAGCAGGGATGGGCAAAGCCACTGGAGCAGCCATGCCTGCAACACCCCCAGGAGCCACCTGCATCGCCGCCGCAGCTTGGGCAGCATCTCTTCGCAGCTGTCCAAGCAAATCAGGGTCTGGTAGGGCTCGAAATCGGTAGGTATTCCCAGCATGAAGCCCTGCTGGAAGCTGTCCACCAACCCCAATACGAAAAGAAGTGATGTCCTGGTTCTCTAAGGAGATCTGCTCAGCATAGGTTTCAAAATCTGGGGTCAAAATGATGTGAAAACCTTGACCACATGCGCATGCCGATAAGATGTATCTTTCATGATAAAGTTCAGGTTCTGGGGCAGGAAGGTCATAACAAAGAAAGACCCTGGTTCCCTCCGTCAACGCCATGTCTACCTAGCCGCCTTACGCTCTCTCACAACTGCCAATTGCCGAAGGGCTCGGGCACGTTGATCCTCACCCCCCTCGATGGCTGCCTCAGGTGCCGTAGACCTGGTCAATGAAGGAGTTGTTGCCGTAGCGCTCCACAAGTCACCAACCAACCCCATCACCTTGCCAAACACAGTGATGAAGCCTGAGATCACACGCACTGTGGCCAACAAGATGCCGGTCAGCAAAAACACCAAGATCTTGAGGAGCTCCCAGGTCCAAGAGGCCTCAGGACAGTCTACCGCACTCACCTTAGTTTCGCAAGTGCAGTTGCAGTGGCACTCGCTCTTCGGCGTGGCCACCTCACGTTCCCAAAGCCACGCCGAAAACCAGGCTATGGCAACAGCGAACCAACTGGGCAGTTCACTCATCGGGGGGCCTTTGAATCTTGAGCGCCAACCCGCGGCCCCCCATTAACATCACTCTACAAATCCCTGTAAACAGACTTATGACATAGACCCGACCCCCATGAAGCCGGTTTCCCCTTACAAATGGCTGATTCTGATGATTCTTAGGGTGTCACTTGAGGTACGAGTATAGTATAATATTCTTATGATCCTTAGATCAGACACGAATGATGGCATTCTGCTTTTGAAGGGGGCTCGTGGTGGCGTTTGAATTTTCAGCCCTTGGTTCACTTTTCGACCTAGCATGCGCCTCTGGACGAGATAGCTTGAGCTCCAAAGGCCTTTCTTTCAAAGAAGGCAACAGGACACTGCCTCGGCTTGAACCCAACGATCCCAAAGGCACTGGTGGCAGCAGGATCTTGGGGTCAGAAACTAATGTTTCACATGGACATCAGAAACCGCCGCGTTTTTCTCACCGCCTTTGCTTCTTTTGTGTGTGGCTTTGAGTGCCTTCAAAACAAGCATGCGAAGGGGGAAATGATGATAATTATGGGGAATGCCTGTGAATTTCAACGTCCCAAGCGACGATCTTTGCCAGCAGTTTCGATGCCGTTAATCGCAAGTATCACGTCATCTTCTTGCAACCCGCCTCAAGGAATGAATGAAGCATTGATAACAGCAACCGACTTCCGCTGTAAGTTGTAAGGAAAAAACCGGCAAAACACCTCTGTCTGCAAGGGGAAACACCCAAGGACCGTTTGGTTGCTAGCTTCGGGGCCTCACTTTTGGTTGACAACCAAGAAGATCCAACTCAAACAACCTGTAGCCTCCTGTAAATTCTATAGTTTTCCCCTCTACAGTAGTTCATCAAACATTTCTCGCAAGAAACTCTGCAAGCCTGGGCCATGCTGCCACATAAATACATATACCGTGCGTTTTTGATCTATCTTCTAAATTCATCTAAATTCAACTACTCAACCCCTTAGAATTTTTGGGCTTGCAATGTGTTTTCCACCAGGGCTGCATGTTTCGAAAGAACATCAACATACTGCATCCACACCTCAAGCATCCTCAAGCAATACCAGTCAATATATTATCATACAGATCTAAAATTCTAAAATCCAATTCAACGTATCAGTTTATCATGGTTTGCCTGTATTGCACCCCAACCCTGCGGGTTTATCATTTCTCATCCTATCATCGTCCCGGGAAACATATATAGTATGAAAACGGTCATTTTGGATGAATTTTGCGGCAAAACCATTTCTTGGACAAACTCATGCTATCTAATGTATCTAATCCAAGTACGACTATACGTATAATCATCATATCGCACCTTCTATTTCTAACTAATTCATCCCCAAGCTGTTCCGCTTCAGCCCAAGCTACGTTGCTGCGCAGCCGAGTTGGGCTCCAACATCTGTACGCTGGGCTGGCCGGATCCGTCGCTCCAGCGGATACGAAAGCCCAGCTGTTCCACGTCAGGGCCGAAGTGACGGGTGAAGACCTGCAGAGCGCCACTGGCTGATTCAGCCCAATTTGGGCCGGGGATGGAGCGAACGGAACAGGAAAAATTGGAAAAAAAACGCCAGGGTGTTTGGTTTCGTTCGAATTCCAGCGGAAATGGCTGGAACATGCTGGAACTACACCATGCCAATGTCAGTAGTTTCACAGTGAATGCTGGCGCGTCCCTGCCGGAAAACGACCCAGAATCATGAAACCCATGTTTCCGACCTTCATCTCGTCTGAGTTGCAAGGTTCCTGCCAGAATTCATCAGAATTCGCTAAAAGTGTGGGTTCGACGGATCTTTCAATCAACCAACCGAATCCTTCCGGAATACTTTAATACTGCATTTCAGGGGCAGTTGAGCTGGTGCCTTTTACCAATTTGCGATCCGAATTGTGTTCCCTTGACTCATCCACCTCTGCATCTTCTGCATCAGCCAATGACCTTTCTGGACGAGGGACCTTTGCGGCCTGCAGTGCGCTGTGTGTGCAGAAGGAATCGAGAGAATACAGTGGATACACACGAGCTTCGGACAGGCTATGACTTATGCCATGACTCTACATGCTCAACGGAACTCATCCTCTTGGTGTGGATGAATTAGCATTAATTACCCCAATTAAAGCATATTAAAGCACCGTTGAACATGCCAGAACTGTGCCAAATGTTCCTACCCTGATGTGTTTTCCACTATTTCACTATTTTCTCTTGTTTCCTTTTAATTTTAGATGTTTTATCTATGTACTTGATTGTACTTGTCTTGTTTCTGCCCGCTTTTGGTCAGACGGAACTCCGCCTTGCGGACAGGTCGTGGTCGTTTCGGTGGTCGCGATCCACGGTAGGATCCGAACATGGGGGTCAAACAGCAAGTGTCAATGTCGGTGAAGTTTCTGCGTCTTGGTGCAGCCACTGGAGCGTCCTTCGCATGGAACATCGTAGGGAGGTCCAACATTTTTGTTCCATCACATGTCTGGTCCAAAACTGAGAGTGGGCTCGGATGCACATCCGCCAACACATCGTTCCATCACCATCCCGGAAACAAGTATGGTCACGAAATCGAATTTTGAAAGTACAACATTATACAAGAATGCCGTATACAAAGTGAAAAACAACGCCAGCATGCAGTTTGCAACATCAATCTGACAATCGTGCAAATTTACAAACTGGCAGCCTCCACAATAGCGGTCAACTTGGATCAACTTGGCCCTTGCTTGTTGAACTCTTGAAGACGGCCTTTTGAAAATATAACGCTGGCCAATGTTCCCAACCAAGGCCAATGTTCTCAACCAAGGTTGGGATGGATATGGGTGGGCATGAAATATGCATATATATAATATATATATATGTAAATATATGTAAATATATTTATATATGTATAATATTAACATTTATTTGTTATGGATGGGTGAACTAACTAGCCAAGATTCCTGAAAAGACTCCTCCTCTTCCAAAATCTCCACGTAAATCCCATCACTGCCCAAATGCCCTTCTAATGTTGAACATCGTCGTGCCAACCTGCGGTTTTGATGTGACTGCGCTGGGCATTCTGTGGTGGGAAAACTACTTCGAACAACATATGAGCATATGTGCTATAATGCCAAATCCTTCCGGAAACTATCAGGGATACGACGGGGATCAAATGTAGATAGATAGATAGGTAGGTAGATAGATAGATAGATTAGATTAGATTAGATTAGATTAGATTGGATTAGATTAGATTAGATTAGGATAGATGGATAGATGGATAGATGGATAGATAGATAGATAGAATGATAGATAGATAGATAGATAGATAGATAGATAGATAGATAGATAGATAGATAGATAGATAGATAGATAGATAGATAGATAGATAGAAATAGATAGATAGATATATTGTTTGATAAATAAAATGGTTGGTTGGTAGAATGATAGATTGATTGATTAATAAATTATGTAGATAGATAGAAAGATAGATAGAATCAAAGAAAGAAAGATAGATAGATAGATAGATAGATAGATAAAGAGATAGATAGGTAGGATAAGATAAGATTAGATTGGATTAGATTGGATTAGATAGATTAGATAGATTAGATAGATTAGATTAGATTAGATTAGATTAGATTAAGATTAGATTAGATTAGATTAGATTGGATTAGATTAGATTAGATGAGATTATGATTAGATGAGATGAGATTAGATTAGATTAGATTAGATAGATAGATAGACAGAAAGACAGACAGATAGATAGATAGATAGAAAGATAGATAGATAGATAGAAAGATAGAAAGATAGATTGCTTGATGAAGATAGATTGATATATTGATAGATTAAAAGATTGATAGATAGATAGATAGATAGATAGATAGAATGATAGATAGATAGATAGATAGATAGATAGATAGATAGATAGTTCGATAGAAAGATAGGTAGATAGATAAATAGATTGCTTGATAAATAAAATGGTTGATTGGTAGAATGATAGATTGATTGATTAATAAATTATGTAGATAGATAGAAAGATAGATAGTCAGATAAATAGATAGGTAGATAGGTAGATAGATAGATAGATAGATAGAAAGATAGATAAATAGATAGATAGATAGATAGATAGATAGGATAAGATAAGATAAGATAAAATAAGATAAGATTTAGATTGGACTAGATTGGATTAGATTGGATTAGAATGGATTAGATTGGATTAGATAGAAAAGAAAAGATCAGATAAGATAAGATAAGATTAGATAAGATTAGATTGATCGATAGATAGATACATATATATGCATTTTTTCTCATCGTCTTATACACACACACATGTGGCAGAAGAGTGGGGTAGGTCATGACCCGGAGCGTCCAGTGAAACCCATGGCCTCGCCACTTCTAAGGCATGAATCTCCGCTAACTGTTCCAGCACTTCTTGGAAGGTCGGCATGGCAACAGTGGCGGTGTCAACAAGCAAAAACTTGATGTTTCCGGTACTGTAAACATCGATTTCCCTTTCTGAATGCATCGTCCGGACGGCGTTCAACGATCGCAGGATGGACCCTGACTATATTCACTCGACTTCATAAAAATGATGTCAGAACATGTTGGGGCAGTTGTCTCTGCATAATCCGTTCGGATGCCTTCTTTGAACCTAGATCTGCATAGTCAAAGTTGCATGCCAAGGCCAACTTGGCCACATCAATACTAATATATAATAATAAAAAGATTATTGAGGAACAAATGCATACAACGCAACATACAGGTATGCATATGGGACCATGAAAAACATGGGCAAACATAGAACCTCGAATTTTGAAACAAACGAACGAACTGTCCATTTGATATCACTTTGTACTCGTTCGTCTCAGGCAAAAAAACAGCCCAACATATTATAATATTACAAAAAAAATAAACATATTGCAGGCCACGAGCGGCCAGAGTTTTTATGCCGCAATGACATGCAACCATGGGCCACAACATACTCGAACCACAGCATGGCACGGTCAAATAGATCCTTTCGGCATGTTTTCCGCAATGTGAACGATCTGCCTACACACACTAGACAAGAGTGGATCTTTTAAGAGATCCGATGGGAACTGAATCCCCTTCCGGTTCTTGGCTTAGCCGGTTGCCATGTCGGAGGAATGAAATCAAGACCCTAGAAATTCAAATTGAACTGATGCAAACACCATCAAACACAGTACGGCGGTTAACAGAAACTGAAGTCAACAGTTCAACTTATCAAGAACAGGTACGTGATCGAGGCGTCCCTCAATCATATCCTGACGAATGGCTGGAGCTTCGTTGGATCAGGCCAGGCCAAACGTCCCTGATCCCCCTGCAATGTAGGAGGGAAAAAAGAAAAAGGAGAGGTTTTACATCTATTCAGATGTTACACACACACACACACACCCGGCCGGATGCCTGCTGTTGAGAGATGTTGTCGTTTCATGTCGTTTCCATTTTTGCATTGCATGTTTGAAAACTGCGATGAACAGTGCCGGGGTGATTACATTTCCCCTGCTTCACCCGTCGTCGAATATGGTATGGAAATGTAGGGAGGACAATTGTCAACACTTCCACCAAAATTGTTGTAAAGCGCGGCCAGCAGAGCGATAAAAATTAGTAATTAGTATATTTTTTAGTTAGTCATGTTCTAGCCTCTGAGTTTGCAGCGGTGAGAACGAACCATTATATTTGATTGTGCCAATAAGTTTCCACACATTAAGGTTGGCTATCCAGAAACGCATGTTCCACTCGGATTTTTTTCTGCAAATCATTTCCCGGACAACGAGGGCATCCTCCACTCCACTGAGCGCCTTGAAACTTGCTTGATCTGCAGGCTGATTTTTTCCAATTGTTTTCGCACCCTACCATGTAGTAAGTCAGAAAATATTTCATATGCCATATGCGATCTTCAAATGAACAAAAATGAACAAGATGTTTCCATAACAAGATGTTTCCATAACAAGATGTTTCCATAACAAGATGTTTCCATAACAAGATGTTTCCATAACAAGATGTTTCCATAACAAGATGTTTCCATAACAAGATGTTTTCATAACAAGATGTTTTCATAACAAGATGTTTCCATAACAAGATGTTTCCATAACAAGATGTTTCCATAACAAGATGTTTCCATAACAAGATGTTTCCATAACAAGATGTTTCCATAACAAGATGTTTCCATAACAAGATGTTTCCATAACAAGATGTTTCCATAACAAGATGTTTCCATAACAAGATGTTCCCATAACAAGATGTTCCCATAACAAGATGTTTCCATAACAAGATGTTTCCATAACAAGATGTTTCCATAAGAAGATGTGCTTCCATAACAAGATGTTTCCATAACAAGATGTTTCCATAACAAGATGTTTCCATAACAAGATGTTTCCATAACAAGATGTTTCCATAACAAGATGTTTCCATAACAAGATGTTTCCATAACAAGATGTTTCCATAACAAGATGTTTCCATAACAAGATGTTTCCATAACAAGATGTTTCCATAACAAGATGTTTCCATAACACGATGTTTCCATAACAAGATGTTTCCATAACAAGATGTTCCCATAACAAGATGTTCCCATAACAAGATGTTTCCATAACAAGATGTTTCCATAAGAAGATGCTTCCATAAGAAGATGCTTCCATAACAAGATGTTTCCATAACAAGATGTTTCCATAACAAGATGTTTCCATAACAAGATGTTTCCATAACAAGATGTTTCCATAACAAGATGTTTCCATAACAAGATGTTTCCATAACAAGATGATCCCCCCCCTTTAAGGGGGGGGTGGGGGACACCTAGAAATATTTCAGCTAAAAATTTCTGGTTTATAATGGTCTCTCCAGGGCCTGGTTGAATTCAAGGCTGAACGTCAAGCTCTGAAGGCTGTTTGACAAGTTCACTCTCTTATTTATTTTATCTTTCTTGGAAACTGGCAGTTACCATTTACATCCATTTACCTAGTTGTGTGGTTTGCGCGTGGGCCCTACCCGCGTAAGGACTAAAAAGGTATGGCAATGGATTTTTTTCGGGGGGGACCCTGCTAGAACTGTAAAATACCATGGTTTTGCAACTACCCCCCTCAAAAATTTCGCTGTTGTAATTATTTATTTACCGCAGGGGTAGGAAACAAGAAGGGGCTCCTCCAGCATTGGCAATGGATTTTTTTGGGGGGGGACCCTGCTAGAACTGTAAAATACCATGGTTTTGCAACTACCCCCCCTCAAAAATTTCACCGTTGTATTTTTCTGTAAGTATGTTTGTGCCAATATTATATATATATACATACATTATGTGTATTTAAGTACATGTGTATGTATGTATGTATGTATGTATGTTCAAAATGAAAGGGTGTGCCATACCATCTCTGGGCTAAAATGTTGCATCCGGAGGACCCCCCCCACATCTTTTGGAAGCCCCAAAAACATGTGGGGGGGGGTATATTTCATGTGGTCAGGTGAAATATTTCTCAGAAATTTCTTGCCTTACCACCCCCAAATATTCCAGGGTTAAAGGGGGGGATACAAGATGTTTCCATAACAAGATGTTTCCATAACAAGATGTTTCCATAACAAGATGTTTCCATAACAAGATGTTTCCATAACAAAATGTCTCCAAGTGGGCGATTCAATCGAATTTCCAACAACGTTTGTTGCCATGCTGGTTCCAAAGTGCTGTTTGAGCATGGCCTTGTAAATGCACACCGAACCAGGCCAAGAAACACATCGTCATTGGCAAAAGTTCCGAACTGCCTGCTTCAATTTCTATTTGCACATCACCAGTACTAAAGTGAACCAGGAACCTAATCACCTCTACAAATGGTTAAGGATGTTAAATGGTACTTGGTAAGGAGTTTTTATGTCCCTAGTAAACACATATAACGTCCTATTAACAAACGGAAACCCATACTATATACATATACTACTTATTACGACGTAGCTTTGAAGGCCCTAGGACGTAATAAATGCTGTAGTATGCTGTAGTTGTTATCGCTACTTAGCTAGTATTTCGGTTCAAAAAGTGAAGTTTTTAGCTAAGTACGTAGGTGGATAAACTAGATACTTTGCTACCTAGGTACTGCAAGGTGGTTAGTTGTTGGTTTTTTTAAGAATCACAGAAAAGGTGTCTGCTTTATAATGGAGAGAAAGGGTCCTCGCACATGTGGCGACAAAGGCTGTCCACTGTTTGTCTTCAAATTGCGGAAGGAATTTCCCTCAGAACAGCTTGGCTTTTGCACTGCTGCGCGCCTTCTGCTTCTGAAGATTCTGTTTATCGCTTTGGATCTTTAGATCAAAATGAAATAGATAGATCATATTCAATGGCCAGCTTCAAGGCCAGGCTGGACCACCCCAAGTGCATGTTTCAACTCCACTCCAGGGATGGATTGGGTCTCTGGCTGCACACGGCCCTTTATGGCAATTTTTGGTTGTCGCTAGGTTATCAATTTGGTCATCGATAAATTCATCTGGTAAAAGGATGAAATAAAAATACGTGACAGATGGTTTCTCAAGCGCAGGTTCTGCTTTCGGGAGCCTGTGTCGTGACAGGTTTGGGCAGCAAGTTCTGTGGTTAGAAGTGCGTACTCTAGGCCTTTTGGGGGCCTTTTGGAAGCAGCTAAAGGCCACAGGCCTTTTGGGAGCACCTGTAGGCCTCTTGGGAGCCACTGGATTCACATCGGACAAATACTAAAACAATGCATACGAGGTTGCTATACAATCACAAAATGCATCGAACAACAACAACAACATCTTTCAACTTCACCATCAAATCACGTTATCGCTTTCCGTGGTTTGGGCAACATGTTACACCAAGAGGGCCTCTCATGTAAAGGTTTCTGCAAGAACATGTTAGGTCTTGCCCATATAACAAAATGATGCGATCAAAAAACACTTGACATGTTTAGACACGCCAGGCCTGATTCCCACAAAGCGATTGCCACTCGCTCGTCAAAAGCCAGCTTTGGGCAAAGGCATTTGCCACCACAGCAGGTTGTTTCTTGCGAAACGCCAAGAGATGGCACAGAGAATCTGAGGAGGAAGTTCGCAACAAAATCTTCGCATCTTTCAGCCTCCCGAAGACTGACCAGTAACGACTTGGACACTGAGTTCTCCCCGGCTACAGCTTTACAGAACATGAAAGCTTTGGAGGGCATAAAGCAATCCAAACAGCTGGCTTATCCCGGCAAGAGACCCAAACAGTGTGGGGGATTGGGGGGATCATGTATGATATTGCCATGATGATGATGATGATGATGGTATATTTGATGGTGTTCAGATGTATCTGCGTCTGTTCTGTATATGGCACCGTGCCAGACACAAACATGAGCCTGTGCCAGATAAGCTTCCTGTCTCTGTGAAATTCCCTTCTTTAGATGTTTGAGGTGCATCCATTTTGGGGTCCAGGCCCCTGCATATGGCATTTTACCAGGCACAAA